ATATATATATATATATATATATATATATATATATATATATATATATATATATATATCTACCGTTATATTATACGGGCCTATCTTATATGGTAGCTGCTACCAAACGGCCCACCTCTCTGATCTCTGAGATAGGTTCGCGAACAATCGTCCATTTTCGTCACCGGCCCACAATGAGGCAAAGCATAGCGATTCTCGGACATTCAGCCGTTCTCCTTATATAATACATATACTGTTAAAATATACTGCCATTACATATTTATAATATGTTATTAAGTTTATTTTTATGTATTTTTATGTATTTTATAATATTTTTGTATATTTTGTTTTTTTTGTTTTTGTTTTTTTTTGTTTTTTTTTGTTTTTGTATATTTTTTTATTACTGTTTTATATATATTTTTGTTTTTATTTTTATTATGGTTTTTTTGTTTTATATTTAAATAACATCAGAGTTATCAAAATTATCAGAATTATCGTTCAAATTATAATTTTGTTTATTTTCAATTTCTAAATTTTCTTCTTCAAACAATCCCATACCTCTGGAAATAATTCTTTTTCTTTTGATTTTATTAGATTATATCTAAAATTAGAGATAACAGGATCTGATGTTATCAACAAATGATGCATTATATCTTCATTTGTTGCTTTTCTGTTAATTTTCCTAGTATGTTGCAAATTATATTTTTTAAATTCCTTGTGTCTAGCTTCGAGTGCTTCTTCCGATAATTGACCTACTGGAATAATTGCGTATTTTATAATCTCTGCACCATGAATTAATATCTTATGAATGGTAGGTGACATGTAATACCATCCGTATTTATCTATTACAAGTTTTGCCAAATCTTTAGCAAAGCAATCAAATTTTTCTGCATTACATGTTCGGTTAGATGCAATAGTTTGCAACAAGATTGCGAATTCCCGTATTATGTTTTCATCTAGACCTGTAATTTGTGCTGTTATGGAAGGATTTGCGAAAAATTTTCTGGCGGTATTTCCATCGTTCGCACTGCCAACACTTTGCTTTACAACATCAATTAATAATCCTAATTTCTGTCTAAAATCTTCTTGCAGTTTTCTCTTACGTTCTTCCCTACGAAGTTTTTCCTTCGAATCACAAACTGACCACTTTTTAAGTTCCAAGTTGTAGGCAATATGTAACAAGAACTCCATACATCAAATCCATGCATGAAGGGTCGACATTCCAAATTTATAATATTCAACATTTTTTACTTTCTTTTTACAAACTAAATCAAAATTATTCATATCTTTTGGACTCCTACCACATATGAAACACGACATTAATGAAGACTTTGTTAATGAAGATGTAACTTTACCTTCTACCATAGTTTGTATTAATTCGTTTTGTACAGACATATCTTTATAGGTACTTAGAATTAAACTGTTGATTTCATTTATCATTCTTTGAGTTTCTTTGATAATGATTTCATTATTCTCCTTTATAAATTCGAATCTAACAGGCCGACAATATTTTGTTGAAGATGGTTTCACGTTTTCCCAAATAACAGTGGAATCACTGACCAATCTCAAAGGGACTAAGTATGTAGCAAAAATCGAATCATCTCTGGGTTTATTAATATCATTAGGCACATTTGCAAACGCTTGTTTGTACAGGCTTTGACAAGTTGTACCATCAAGTTCCCCATTTTGATATTAATTTTAAATTTTGCTGTTTGTTAATATTATGAGCTTCAACTAATCTAGAAAATGTAATGTCAAGAAGAGCTTGCAGCTTTATTGAAGTATAAGTTTCTGATATTGTGATTGTTTTCTTTGGCGGATAAAAATCTTTCTTTGCTAAGCGAATTTGATAATATGAAGGATACTGTCTAATGCCTTGTATGTTGGAAATATTTCTTAATTCTTCATATGCTGATCTAGACAGTCTTAAATTTAATATTAATGCTAAAGCTTGTTCCTTTGAAAGCATTTTATTTTCAACTATCTTACGTTCGCAAAAAGCTCTGAGTTTCGATGTTTCCTCGGGATGCTCCATCAGAAAAGATAAAATTATAGCTCCATCCGTATTGCCTGAAGCTTGCATTTTTACATTTAGAGCGAATATCAGTTCATCTATGGTATTTTCCAGGGTTGGGAAAGTTACTTTATAAAAGTAACTCGTTACCGTTACCGTTCCTTTTTCTAAAAAGTAACTCGTTACCGTTATTCGTTACCAATTTCAAAAAGTAACTCGTTACCGTTACCGTTACTCAAAAAATAATGAGTCGTTACAAATTTCGTTACTTTTTTTATATACAAAACAAACTTTATGCATGATTTTTTATATAAAAATTATTAATATGCTGTAAATGTAAATAAAATTTTTTTTTATTAAAAATCGCAGATTTTATTTCAAAATAAGTTTTTATCGAAATTCTTTATTTATTTTTAAGAGAATTTGTTGCTCGATGGTATCATCGTACAAATGTCCTCTTTGCGGGGTTAATACAGAGCCACCTACACTGAACATGCGTTCCACAGAGGC